ACTTATTGAATAAAGGCAAGTTATCTCCCAGCTCACAGATTTGACCTTGACCTGCCTCACCTCTCACAATATAAAATGATTTAAGCTTTTTCACATAAAGGCAGCCATACAATTTTCTATTTATGCCAACTATTTATGCCAACTATTATGTTAAAAACATTTAATTTCATTTAATATATTTTTAACTTGTCTAAATTTTCTAAACATTTTTAGATCTTTCCTACCTCATGAAGAACAAAAGTAGGCACAAGAGTATGATAATCCTTTGATCCTTGTATGGAATGGTCACATATAAAGGAGACTATTATTGTAGTGGAACATCTATATCAATGCTGTTACTATTAAAGCATTTTAGCAGTAAAAAAAAAAAAAAAAAAAAAAAAAAAAAAAAAAAAAAAAAAGAAAGAAAATGGAAATTAAAATCTCTCAATAAATGTTCAAATGGCCTGAAGTTTTGATTATGCTCCCGGGGTTATGGATTTAAAAACCAAACTTTGGTCAGAAACCATATTAACCTTTTAGAACAGTCACTATACCAATAATTTTAAGATATAATTTGGATCATTTCATTTCTTCTATGATTGAGTCATGGACTGCAGAGCTTTTAATGGAAGCTTTACAGATTCTGAAAGGACCAGGCAGCTGTTTAGGCTCTGCATGATTAGATGCTTAAAACTGGATTTAAATCCTCTAAAATATCAGTTTTGCTTCTCCAGTTCAAGATAATAGCACTGTACATTAAATGGGTTATCATTGGTAATTTGATGTGGACCACTGAGTTTATTGAAATTGCAGATCTCAACAATCTCAGTACTGTCTGATTTAGCATGAACATCTGGAAAACTATTTTCTTGGAATTCAATTAATTTTTGTCCTTTTGTGGTTAGCAGTTTTATATACCAGTTAATCTCTTTATTAGAGTTCTTGTAATTATTACTCAGCTCAATCGATACTAAAGTTATTAGAATCCCATAATCAAGAGTGCCTGTCAGGGTCCTTTCCATCCTTTTCATGAGCTTCATTGAAGACACAGCACTTTAGGATTTTACTTGCTTGTAAAGAGCTTTCAGAAAACATATCAGAATTAAGCAATTATCTGTAAACAATACTTAATATGGTCATGGTTAAATGCAGAATTGACGAGAACATCGTGTTATTTCTGTGGTCCACAATAATTTAACGTAATAACCATCATTATGACTGATAACCTATACTGAGACATATCAGAATTTTAGGAATATCATAAAATTTTGTAATGCATATAATAGCATATCTATAAAGCTATAACTTGGAGATTAAACATTATGTCTTTTTTTGGCAATGCTTCCCATATATTTTAACATATCAAAAAAGGCCATTTGTTATTTCTCTTTTGGAAGCTGCAGTGGCTTTTGGTAACATCCCAAAGTTAAAGATAAAAAATACTTAATTTTAGAATTTATTATTTTATTTTGGAAAGTTTGTCAAATACCAGGTATTTAGGACACCTAATATTAAATTAACAGTTTAAAACACAAATCAAAATGATATCACAGATTACTGTAAAATAATATCATTTAGTGAAAGCAATAATAAAATGGTTTATAAGAAGCAAAATCCTTTATTCTTTGATAGAGAAGACACTCAGTTTTCCAATAAAAATTCTATAAAAGCATGAAACAGAATCTGCCTCTCCTCTCCTTTTTTTCTTTCCTGCAGTTTACTTTAAAAGTGAAAAAAAAGTCTTTTACTATCTCATAAATATTACATGAATGTCTTGTTTAAATGAGAAAACAAAATTTTACTTTTATATTAGTGTATTATCAATACTAAAGATAGTTTTGACAAATTGTCATAAACAGATCCATCTATTTTCAGTTAGGTTTTGACAACAGAAGATAAGATTTCCATAAACCTTTTACAACCTCTTACAAATTAAATTTTTTTTATTCCTCAACTTTTTAGATTCCTTTAGTTTCATCTATATTATTTTTCTCCATTTTGAAACATTTAAATAACCTTTAAACTAGACAATATTACTTTTCTTTTAGGAAAAGCCATATCCTCAAACCTTTTTTGTAAACTTCCTCATGAAAAACACATCTTACTTTTCTAAAACTCTCTGCATATAGAATTATTTCTTATATTGAGTAATTTTAATTACATATGGTAATCAAAATTTTGACTCTATACCCAATCTCCAGTGAAAAACTTAGGAAGGAAGTAATTTTGAACTATTTTATATCAGTATTTATAGATGAAAACAATTTCATAAATTTTTAGAAAGATATGTTTCTTCAATTTTTTAATTAACAGGTATAAATATATTTACCTTTTCTATACCATCTAAAAATTAGATGCCAAAGTATATGAACTGCAACTTAAACATATGTTTAATAACTAATATTTCAGTATTTTTACTTACCCAAAATTGACTCAGTTTATGATTATGTATTATTTAATTTAACATGAGTTTAAGATTTTTGAAGTGATTTGAAATTACTAAAAAGAATTTTGAAATGATGACACACATACACTTCCTAACATCTTCCCCAGTTGTCCTGGTTCCCAAGAAATTACCTGGCACTCAAGAACAGGGATGAAGTACAGGGCCTGTCTTGGCTCTAAATTTACATATCAAAATATCAAAATACAGAGCTGAGGACAGAAGACAGGTCTGTGAAGAGGATGCCTGGAGAATCCAATCCCTCCAAGTATGGGCAGGGAGAAAAGCTGGGCCATATAGCATGGGGCCATACTGTTCTTGGCTCTGCCTTGCAGTTGATAGCCCAGGTGCTGAGGACATACAAATATCCTAAGACTTCACCATGGACACCTGTGCAGATCCCAAATTCAGAGGCTCAAACCAAAGACATACACTCATAGTAAGATGTGTGCAAGGCTTTGGGGGAACTCAGGAGCCAGGCTTTACAGCTTTAGCTCACAGACAAATCAAGCAATGATAAAAAATTTACAAAAGCAAAAATTTTACAACCTTAAAACATGTAGCAAAGACAGCATAAATCTGTCCAACCCAGTAGACGCAGGCAAAAAAAGTCTGAAATATGTTTAATAATGACAATCCTGGAAATATTCCTATTTTATTTTACCAGCAATTTAAAAACTAGCATTAGGGCCGGGTGCAGTGGCTCATGCCTGTAATCTCAGCACTTTGGGAGGCCGAGGCGGGTGGATCATGAGGTCAGGAGATTGAGACCATCCTGGCTAACATGGTGAAACCGTGTCTCTACTAAAAATACAAAAAAAAAATTAGCTGGGTGTGGTGGCAAGCACCTGTAGTCCCAGCTACTCGGGAGGCTGAGGCAGGAGAATGGCAGGAACCCAGGAGGCAGAGCTTGCAGTGAGCCGAGATCGCACCACTGCACTCCAGCATGGGTGACAGAGTGAGACTCTCTGTCAAAAAATAAAAATAATAAAAATAAACAAATAAATAAATAAATTAAAACGAGCTTTATTTACCAAATATTTTATCACATAACACATAGAGACATACAGAAATGCAGACATACAAGAAACTATTTTGTAGCTTCCACTATGATTTTTCATTTGTGAGCTTCCAAATAGTTTTCATTTTCCCTATTCAGACTATAGATCTTCCAATCAACTGTTGCATTGCCCTAAGCAACTGTTACTATGCAATCCTAAATCTGCACTTTTAAAGGGATGACTCTTAGGTTAAATGATGTAGATAATTTATACCTCAAAAGCGCAGAGCTAAGACTTAAAACTTAAATACTGTACCATCATTTGCTCAGCACCTCCTCCCCTAAAAAAGAGGTTTTAGGTATAGGTCCTCTCAAGAAAAAAATAGCCAGTAAAAGAACCTTAAACAAAATTAAGACCTATTATGTAAATTTAAACCAATGACAAGAAGTTTTAGTGACTCAATCTTTCCTCCAAGTGAACAGAGTCAGACACTCCTGCAAATAGAAATTACAAAATAGCTAGCTAAATGCCAGACAGGTGTATTTGGGAGGGGAACTTAGTTCAACAGATGCTCTTTTAAATTTATCTGCTGTTTCTTAGATAAATTTACTGAGTTTGGGGTGAAGTCCATTAAGGAATAGGGCAAAGAAAGCATTGTCTATGCCTGGATTCACCATGGATAGCTCTGAAAAAGAAACAAGTCTATTTTACCTGAAGACCTGCTTTTTATAAACACCTCATTGGGCTTTATTTTCACATTCAAGGCAGAAGTGTCACTAAGCCAAAAGGTTAAGGGATTTGGTTTTTTCTTATCCACTGGGCACTTAAGCTTTTTTATTTCTTTTGGTAAAGAGCCTTTTAAAAGACAGTAAAAATATTGAAATCTCTTTAGAACCTTACGCACATCAATAAGCATTCCTGAGTTAGTCTAATTGAAGTACCTCATTTTTAAACATGTTTCTTAAAGTGCAGTGCTGTTTTTTTGGAAAGTTCCACTGTAGTTTTAAATTATCTTAAGTAAGTTTTTGTCATTTTTGTAAGCATTTGCTGCTTCCAGGGCCTAATATTTATATAAATAAATGTAGGCATAGCCAGAAGGTGGAGTACTAATTTCTTCAAAAATTAAAAATGCCATTTTTTGTGTGGACTCTTGGCTTTGATTCTCAGATATTTTTCATCAATTTAGCCAATGATTTTTCCCTACCTAAGCTCACAAGGAAAAGAAGCAAAAGGAATAGAACACAAAAATCCCAGTTAATTTCTGAAAGCCAGAGTTTGCAACCCCTGCAGTATTGCCATTTACTGCCAGTTTCTCTCTGATCCAGTCAGATATCCAAGGCCTCTAACTGGATCCTATCCAGTTAATTTTCAAATCCAATCTGACCTTGAACCCAGGCCATTAGTATCTTTCTCAACTTTTGAACCCAGTCCAGATAAAAAAATGTGCCAAACAATCTTGTATAGCTCAAACACAAATGCATGGAGCTTCATAATGTAAGAGAAAACTTATCCATGATCCCTAGCAGCTGTGAGAGAGTAAAGGACACAATGGGCCTAGTGGGTACCTCACTTACTTGGTCACTTAATGCTCCTAAGGATCACTGGAAGCTTTAATTTTGATCCCACATCTAATACCATCTGTTAAAAAAGAGAGAGAGATAAATTAGATTTAACAGAGTTTAATTGATCAAAAATCAGTTAATGAATCAGGCAGTTCTCCTAAACCAGAATAGATTTAGTGTGACTCTGGGGATGCTGTATGGTCAGAAAAAAAGAAAGTGACATACAGAAAATGGTAGTGAGATACAATAATAGCTGAATTGGTTACAGCTCAGGGTTTGCCTTATTGAACATGGTTTGAACATTTGGACAACTGTGACTAAAACTTTGTGATTGGCACAAGAGATTATGATCTATTTATAACTCCAGTTAGGTTACAGTTCACTATGTACAAAGAAACCCTTAGGCCAAAGTTAAAATATGTAAGGTGACAGCTTTAGTCTAAATCTAATTTAACAAAATGTTGAATCAACTTTGCATTCCATAGATTAATAGAATGATAGATTATTAGATTAATCCCACTTGATAACGGGGCATAATATTTTTATATGTGACTTGATTTTGTCTGATAGTATTTTGTTGAGTATTTTTGCATATATATTCATAATGGATACTGAAGATTTCTTTTCTTCTTACTTCTTTGTCCGGCATTGGCATTGTGACAATACTGGCCCCATAGTATACGCTAAGAATTATTCCCTTTAATTCTATCTTTTAGAATAGTTTGAGGGGTAGTGCCATTCATCCTTTAAACATTAGGTAACATTTTTGAGTGATTACATCTAATTTGGGCTTTTCTTTGTTGGAAGTTTTTGAGATACCGAAAAACGTCTTTACGCCTTACAGATATATTCATAATTTCTATTTCTTCTTGAGTAATTTACAGCAGTTTCTGTCATTCTAGGAATTTTTCCATTTCTTTTCTTTTTTTTTTTTTTTTGAGACGGAGTCTTGCTCTGCCGCCCAGGCTGGAGTGCAGTGGCCGGATCTCAGCTCACTGCAAGCTCTGCCTCCTGGGTTCACGCCATTCTCCTGCCTCAGCCTCCCGAGTAGCTGGGACTACAGGCGCCCGCCACCGCGCCCGGCTAGTTTTTTGTATTTTTTTAGTAGAGACGGGGTTTCACCGTGTTAGCCAGGATGGTCTCGATCTCCCGACCTCGTGATCCGCCCGTCTCGGCCTCCCAAAGTGCTGGGATTACAGGCTTGAGCCACCACGCCCGGCCAAGGAATTTTTCCATTCCATCTATGTTTTTCAATTTGTCATACAATTGTTCACAGTATTTTTAATAACACATTTTATTCCTTTATCGTTAATAGTAAAATCCCCTTTTGCCAAGGGTCTCAGTGTGCATGCCGGGGCATTGAATTCAACACTCAGTCAGATGATCTGCACCTGTTTCTTAGTCTTCACTTTCTGTTTACCTAGATCCTCAAAGTCAGCCAGAAGTCATACATTTGTGCCTGTTCAGATCTCTCTTTAGCATGCACACATTTCTATGCATGCATTTGTCTTTTTAGTATCCCCGAAATTGGTTGAAACATTTCAAAGCCCATATGCATTTTTCACTCCTCATCTTTTCCTCTTAAGTTTGCTAGACAATCTATTGTTGGCCTAATATCCATCATCTCAGGCAGGAGCAACTAAAACAATTGTATTTAAATGTTTTTGAGTCATGTCCACAGAAAAACCACAGAAAGTGGTTTTTAATACCGAATCTTACATCAGGCAAAATAATGACTAGATTTTCAAGTTGGGTGTTCCAGGGACAACAAAAGATGTTAAATAGTGACTATTCTTCGGGAATGTGACTTTGAAAGATGTATACCACTGACATGCTCTCTTTAGTATCAATAAGGTGAACTGTTATATTTTCCACGGGTTCAGACAAGCTGGAATATAGGGAATAGTATCACTTCTAGCTAAAATGGATAAAGCTCCCTATTCTTAATAATATCCAGCCATTTTTCTCCATTTTATTCCCTAGGTTTCTATACACATTTGATTAATTTGCATAGTTCCAACAGTGTTGATTTTGAGTTTTTCTTTTTTTTTTTCCCTTGTTTTTTTCCCTGAAAGTCCCTAGTCTACCATTTTACTGACAAAAATTGTATTCGATTTTTAAAAATCTTTAGCTGCAGGCAGGGTGCAGTGGCTCATTCCTGTAATCCCAGCACTGTGGGAGGCCGAGGTGAGTGGATCACCTGAGGTTGTGAGTTTGAGACCAGCCTGACCAACATGGAGAAACCCTGTCTTTAATAAAAATACAAAATTAGCCAGGTGTGGTGGCTCATGCCTGTAATCGCAGCTACTCTGGATGCTGAGGCGGGAGAATCGCTTGAACCCAGGAGGCGGAGGTGGTGGTGAGCTGAGATCACGCCATTGCACTCCAGCCTGGGCAATAAGGGCAACATTCTGTCTCAAAAAAAAAAAAAAAAATCTTTAGCTGCATAAATGACTATACTTCTGCTGTTTTACTGACTTTTCATAAATGTTTTTGTGGTAACTGTTTTTTACCTTGCACCAAAAAAAAAAAAAAAAAAAAAAAAACCCAAAATGGAAAAGAGTGATGCACCTCAGTGCACTTTCCTCCCAGTGTGCAGGCCAGTCAGAGGTTCTCTGAGAACCCCTTTATACTCAGCTGTGTCACTCCCCCCTGTAAGGAAGTACATCTAACAGACATTAGAATAAAGATAAGGGTAAGAATGAAGACCAATCTTAACTTCTTCCTGCTGACAGAGGGCGTTGTTTTGGGGAAAACTGCAGTCAGAGCTCCCTTAAAGGCCTATCTAAGGGTTCCCAGCAAAACAGACTATTCTCTGAGGCTCCAGTTGCATGACCATTTGTAGTTTGATGGCCTAAAGCCAAGAAAAGACAAACCGGGTTATTAAAAAACACATATCGAAATGAAACAAGGGGAGGGGTAAGGACAGCTTAAAAATCCCAAGGCCTTTTGCCAGTGGGCATAGGGAGAGGAAGACTGAAATCATGATTGGTAAAACAAACAAACAAACAAACAAACAAACAAACAAACAAAACCTTTACTCTTTTGCTGGCATGTTGGCCTTCTGGGTTCCTTTCCCTTGAGCCCAACCCTAAGCCAACCAGTTTAAGGTTTGGGAAATTAACTCTTTCCAGTTTGGAGGATGCATCTGAGGGTAGCATTCCAGAGTATGGAGACACAGTTACCTATCAGTGAAGAGAGGACAGAGGAGGAGAATAGAAAAAATAAGGAGCTTTTCAAAGGAGTCCCAGATATCAGGATGCATTTGGAAGGGGTACAGACTCAAGATGAATGGCTACCCATCAAGAAAGAGGGGAGCAGGCATTCCTGGTTCCCTTTTCTTCCTAGCAGATACCCAGAATACATTAGGGAGAGAAGGAAGAGCATCCTTTCCCTTTTCCGTCCTTGCATCTCCAAGTTCTGGGAACCTTGGCAGGTGCCACCCATGGGTGCCAAAATGGCTTGCACCCATGAAACAGGGAGGGCCTAGAGAATATAAATTATCTCCTCTCATCTATGTTTCTAAGCCAACTACTGACAGTAGCTTTGATGTTCCCTGGACCTCATTTATGCCATGGATACCAGCATGACTTTTATCCATGAAACAAGAAGCTTGGCTTGATTGGCAGGAATTAGCAATGCTTGCCTGTGCTGCATATATTAGCTTCTGTTGTCACCTGTCTCTGGATCCCTTAGGTCGTTTTCTTCTTAAGGCTTTGACCTGAAGCTTGAAATTGAGTTTTGGAGAAAAATGTGTCTTGGGGGCATTGCATGGACTCCTATCATAAACCGAATGCTAAGGTGAGGCTGTAGAAATGAGTCCTCCTTCAACAAGGGAGACAAAAAGATGTCTTGTGACATGACCAGATAACCGGTGGCTATAGCTATGCTTGGTAAATTTTGGGTGCAGGGTGCTTGTATTGGGTTAGCTCCCTTCATCTTACTTTCCCAAAAAGGAAACCTCCAATTGGTGGGCATCCTATTTATTCCCATCACCTGGCAGGATTTGCAGGATAATTGCTCAGAACTTGAGTACTGATCCAGATTTTTACATTACCCATCCCTCTTGTTATTTCTGAGATGCAGCCAGAGATTGCTGATTTAGTCTAAAATGTAGAGTTAGGAACAAGCAGAGTTAGTCTAAAATGTAGGCGAAAACGTAAAAACAACTAGTGAGTTTAGAATTTAATGACAAAAGTATGGTAAGTTTTGAAACATAATTTCTTTACGTCTAGTTCTAATTTTTGTTAAAAAAAACAAATCATGATAGGGCTAAGTGGTTTGCAAAATAGACTTTAGTCTTACATTTGGCCTGATTACTTGCATAAAGGGAAGCAAGAATAACTATTTCTACATAGGACCTTTAGATTGGCTTTGAAGAAACTGTTCCACAAGAAGTCTCAGATAAGACATATATATATATATACTTTTAGTTTTTATTATACTTTAAGTTCTAGGGTACATGTGCACAATGTACAGGTTTGTTACATACGTATACATGTGCCATGTTGGTGTGCTGCACCCATTCACTTGTCATTTACAGTAGGTATATCTCCTAATGCTAACCCTCCCCCCGCCCCCCACTCCATGACAGGCCCCGGTGTGTGAAGTTCCCCTTCCTGTGTCCAAGTGTTCTCATTGTTCAATTCCCACCTATCAGTGAGAACATGCAGTGTTTGGCTTTCTGTTCTTGCGATAGTTTGCTGAGAATGATGGTTTCCAGCTGCCTTCATGTCCCTACAAAGGACATGAACTCATTCTTTTTTATGGATGCATAGTATTCTATGGTGTATATGTGCCACATTTTCTTAATCCAGTCTGTCATTGATGGACATTTGGGTTGGTTCCAAGTCTTTGCTATTGTGAATAGTGCCACAATAAACATATGTGTGCATGTGTCTTTATACCAGCATGATTTAAAATCCTTTGGGTATATACCCAGTAATGGGATGGCTGGGTCAAATGGTATTTCTAGTTCTAGATCCTTGAGGAATCGCCATTCTGTCTTCCACAATGGTTGAACTAGTTTATAATCCCACCAACAGTGTAAAAGTATTCTTATTTCTCCACATCCTC